CATCTCTAAGTCCCAGTGAAGAGATACATGCTTAAAGTTAAGTAAGTGATCCTGGGCATTAACATATATTTAAAATTCAGTAGTTTGTTGAATCATGGCCAAAGAGAAAACATTTGCATCTTTACTATCTTAACTTTTATCCTTGAAATTGTTGTTAAGGTACATCCACACCATGGTTAGATACCCGGGGCTGGCCTGTGCTAGCTGACAAGGGCTTTCAGGGCTCAGGCTGCATGGCTACAGGACTGTTTAATTGTGCTGTAGACATCCTGGCTTAGGCTGCCACCCAGGCTTTGGGATCCTGCCACCAGCCTGAGCCTAGACATCTATCTAGGCATTAGACAGACCTTAACCTGAGCCCCGCAAGCCCAAGTCAACTGTTGCAGGTGTGAAAGTAGAAAGAATTATACTGTAAGACAAAGATGATTTGTGGTGTAATAATTGAATAAGTTGAAGGAATACTGTTTGTCTCTGAACAGGAAGAAGAAAACGTATGTTAATGTTGTTTGTAGGTATGCAGATCAGAGTGCTAGCCAGGTGGGCCTGAGATAATAGGAAAAGGAACATTAGGTGTTAGGCAGAAAGCAATTGAGATAACCAGGGAGATATGGACAGGAGATTGCTGTGTGCTTGATGTGGAGATGAAGATACTTGACTAGCCTCACACTAAGCATGTGAAGTTTTGCCTCTCTTTTTAATCCTGTTAACTTGGCTTTCTTTTGACTGTATAAATCAAGGAGTTTGAACCTTGTGTGGCACTCACATTTTCTAAGTGAATTAGCAGAGCGGCTTTGCTAATAAACAGAGCGGTCTGACAAATATGAGTGAGTCCTGTCTGACTTTGACTAAGGCCAGCCAGGGGTTTTTACTTGTAAAGTGGATGTACCCTTAAAGACTGCAGAAGTGAAAAACAAAGCTTAGCTCAGTAATGGCTATCACATGAGTGGCCCTCCTTCATCTCAGTGGCTGCAAGATTGTTGTAACCAAGACGGCCTCCCAGGATAGAGTAGTTTTGCTAACTGCGCTTGTGTACCTAGAATTTGTGGGGTGGTGCTGATTGAACCATAGCACTTCTTTGGTTGGAAGCAGATAGAATGCACGGCTCTCCCAGTCTTGTGTGCAATCAGCACACACCTCCCTTCATATGCCCTTGTTTTAGGTGCGTGTCACTTTAGTGATACCGATAGGCAAAAATCTCAGATGGAAACCAGCAGAATCTGACAATGTTGCACATGGGCAATGGTAAATAAAATGACTCATGGGCCACACACAGAATCCCAGTGGGTCGCAAGTGGCCCTCAGTCCACAGGTTGCCCACCACTGGCTGACTTCCTTAACTTTCTCCTTATCAAAAGCTAGGAACGTAAGGATGGCAGGGAAATAAAAACATCAACATCACATGGACCATCAATGTGTTCTAGGTGTGTGATACTACTGTCACAGAAGATTAATATGACTTGGTATTTGTAATACTTCCACACGGGCCTATTCTTCTGTCAATATGGGAGTGTAATAACGGGAACTATACAGGAATACTGAGATAAGACTATTCTCTGTAGTTTTTTGGAATTAGTAGTGGCATTCATGGTAACTGCAAGATTATAATATTTACCAAAGAAGTGAACACTCACATCATTTCCAGAGGAATTGTTTGTTTATTTTTCAGTCATATCTTTTTGAGGTTAAGAGAAATTCTATTCCCTCTTAGTTGATTTTATTTTTCTGTATTTGATTCCAGAATTCTGAAACTCCTAAATACACAAGTGCAAGGCAAGTAAGGCTGCTCCTCCTGGTGGGCAGCTAATGACAAAAAGAGAGCCTAAAGGTGCTCACTGTTACGGAAAGGCACTTTAAATGTGTTTATAGACTTAATCTTTTTACCTTAAAAAAGCACCAGCTTTTAATTTGAAAAATAGCTTCCAGGGGGGATGGTTTTATAGAACTGGCTAAGTCACTGGAATCATCCTGAACATATTAGCATCCCTTAAAGACAAAGAGAGAGAAAGAGACTGTGAGGGCTTCTCTACCTTTTTATATTAATGCTCTAGGGACATCACAGCTACACTGATGCAGCTGTGCTATAACTCTTCAGAGACGATGCTACTTCCCCTGCTGGGAGGGCTTTAGCCACTTTCCAAAGAGGCAGTAGGTGTGTCAGCAGTAGAAGTCGTCATAGCACTGTCTATCCTGGGGGGTTAAATCAGCCTAATTTTGTCACTCAGGCATGTGGACTTTTCACCCTCCTGAGCGACATAGGTATACTGATGTAAGTTTCTAGTGTAAACAAAGCATGTGTGTGTTTGTGGAGGTGGGGTTAAAGGTTGGGATAGGGGAGAAGAACTGTCCAGTTGCTAGGACATTAGTCTTGGTCTTAGAAGACCAACATTCAATACCCTGCTCTGCCTTTTGTGACCGAGGAACGTCAGTATCTATATCTTAGTAGGGATGTTGTGAAGATAATTAAATTAAATTAAAGTTATGGAGGTGCTCAGATAATGGAAGTCATTTAAGAACCTGAAATAAATGGAATCTAGTATTCCCTTCAAGTTATAGTGGTTGACCTCATTGTCATGACAAATTCCTTGCAGTTGGACAATCTAACATTCAGTGTAGTAGGTTCTGAATTTATGGTATGATGATAGAAGGTTAAGGGCAGTAATCTGACACTAATGGAAAAATAGTTATTGCACAGTGGTTTTTACTAGGTACGGGTAAAAAACAAAGAGTCCTTAAATATTTTATTCTGTGAAAAATGAATCCTAGAAATATGCCACACCCAACATAAAATACATACATGCATTCAAATACTATCTTAGAAACGGGAAACATCATGCAAACATAACAACAACTACATGCATTACAGTTTCTATGGCTGTTATTTCAGTCAAATCGTTTTTAAAGTTTATGGACCCAATCAATTTAGTTTTCAAATTCCCAACTGTCTGTGTCTTTAAATAGTGTGAATTTTTGAATGTCATTATTATTAATGTTACTTTGAGGATCAAGCCTTAATCTTTAAAGGAGGTGGCTGTCATATAGGTGAAACAAACTCATACATAAACCAGATTTTTTTAAAACAACGTCTACTAGTTTCAAATAAAATAAGTCTTCTGAAGGTTCAGTTAGGGCAGTGATCTCCAACCGTTTTAAACACAAGATCACTCTTTTGAATTTAAGTGCAATCCAGGACCTACCTCACACCCAAATACCCTTGCCCCACCTCATTTGTGCTCCTTCCTGGGCCCCGCCCCCGCTCACTCCATCCTCCCTTCCTCCACCTTCCTTCCTCACTTTCATCAAGCAGAGGCAGAAGGTTAGAGTGCAGGCTCTGGTCTTGGTTAAGGGATTTGGAGTTGCTCTGATCTGAACCTGGGGCAGGGAGTTGGAGAGCACACAGGGGTTCAGGATACAGGCTCGGTAATGGAGTTTGGGTCTGTGGGGGGGCTCAAGGCTAGGCCAGGGACTTGAGGTACAGGAGGGGGTTTGACTGGGGCAGGAGTTCAGGATGCAGGCTCTAGACCCTTGCCCCACCTCATTTGTGCTCCTTCCTGGGCCCCGCCCCCGCTCACTCCATCCTCCCTTCCTCCACCTTCCTTCCTCACTTTCATCAAGCAGAGGCAGAAGGTTAGAGTGCAGGCTCTGGTCTTGGTTAAGGGATTTGGAGTTGCTCTGATCTGAACCTGGGGCAGGGAGTTGGAGAGCACACAGGGGTTCAGGATACAGGCTCGGTAATGGAGTTTGGGTCTGTGGGGGGGCTCAAGGCTAGGCCAGGGACTTGAGGTACAGGAGGGGGTTTGACTGGGGCAGGAGTTCAGGATGCAGGCTCTAGATGGACACTGCTTACCACAGGTGGTGCAGTGGGGCTAAGGCAGACTCACCCCTGCCCTGGTACTGCCAGCAAACTTCCTCCATCCCAGACTCTGTTGTGCCCCCCTCCATTCTGTGGAGATAGATTACAGGGTGAGAGAGGGGGCACCACGACATCAGCAGTCCCTCCTTTTCCTGCCCTGCCCTGCCCAGCAAGTGGGGAAATGCGGGGGCAGCTCTAAGGCAAAGAGCAGGAGATGAGCATCAGTGCAGGGAGGGGCAGCTGAAATGCCAGCATTTGATAGACTCTTGGCTAAACCAGTCAAGATCACCTGTCAGAGGGTTCAAGATCTACCAGGAGTTCCTGATTTACTGGTTGGTGACCACTGAGTTAGGGGGATCTGCCTTGGGAAGGAATGGAAGAATATTTCAAGAAGACCCAAGAAGCATTTAAACCACATACATAGTTTTAAAAATGCACATTAATTCCATTGATATGCATGGGACTTCAGCATCTACTTCCATTTGTAGTATACAGAGTAGCTATAATTTAGATTCCTCAAATGAACTGTAAAACTTGTTGCCATTCTTGCAGCTAATTTCTCACAGGGAAACATGAGCAATGTGGGCGTGTCAGGGGCAATTCCTAAGCTTTTTAAAAATCTGAAACAAGAATAAAAGTAAATGTCTTTTCCTGTAAATAAACTCCACAAAACAGAGGTGTTACTTACATACCAGTCCTTTCAGACGGAAACACCAATATGTGTAGCTTGACCCCTTCTGATACATAGCCAGATTTTCTAATGGATATTTCCACCTTTTGGCTATTAATGTTCTGTGCTGAATTATACTGGAGCTGAAAGACAGCTTACTGTTTTTGAGAGTACATTTTTATGCCAACATATTGCTGACAAATGATTTTTAAGGAATATATTGTAACCTTGAGAAAGGAAGAAAGGAAATCAAAATGCAACAAGCCAAAGCATTTAAAGTGTGTGTCCATATATAATATGTGTATATGTGTGTGTGTGTACACAGATATAGACATACAGAGATTATCTATTGAGAAATTATCTATTTATTTTTAAGGAACTGTAATCACCTTTACTACTTTAATGTTAACTATAAACAAGTTGGTGACATGTTATTTAATATTCATCCTAGACAATTGTTTTTATTTCATGTATGCACAGGCGCTTGGATTCTAATGCCTTACTTTGTGACTGTGAATTAATGTGGTTGGCTGAACTAATAAAAGAATATACCAGAAAAGGAAATACTCAGGCTGTTGCCACATGTCAGTATCCCAGGAGACTTCAGGGCAGGTCTCTTGCATCGTTAATAGTGGAAGAATTCAACTGTGGTGAGTAAGGTTGGCTGCATGAATTTTTGGAGAGAAAATTGTTTGTGTGCCTTTTGGCTTTAAGCCTACAGTTATCTATTTTTTTATGTATTCTGGAAAATAAACTTACTCTTATTTTGTTTATTTTTATGGTCATTTCTTTGAAATGCTTATAAATATGTGCTTTTGGTTTACTCAGTTCTTTTGGTTTACTCAGTCTTTAAAATGAAGAACTTGAAGTCTATGATTATGATCATTTTATTGTTCAACTTAAAAACTAAACTAGACTCATCCCAATAAATAGTGTACAGAAAATAGTTTCTTCCAATTTCTCTGCAAAGATTTTATCGAATTGATTGTCATGAAGTCTTATATTACTACAACTCTATTGAGTATTATAAAAAAGAGAACTACACTGTACTTATAAAATAAAGGACATCATGTTAGGGAGTATTTGTTATTGTGTGTGGGCAAATTAACAAAGTTCTCACATGTTATCACTCAGACACCAAGGGCCATTGTCTTAGTCTGCATTCACATTGGTTGTATGGTATTGCACCCATCCTGCCAAGATTTATGCATGTGCTTCTCCATATGCACCATGCTTTGAAAGGGATTATTAAGAGTGAGTAAAGAAAAAGACATCCCTCATTATTTGCTGTGTCTAGCACTGTGTTTGTGAGTGTGTACATGTAGAAAGAGAAGTTATTCAGTGGAGAGTCTACAATTACATTTGCCACAATACTTAATGAAAGTGGAGTCTCCCATATGTCAATGCTGAGCACAGGCTGCATGGAGGTGGAAGATCACCCTGAAGCTCTCAGCCCCAAAATATGGACTTGCTGGTAAGGCTGCACCCAACCCTGACTCAGCACAACAGCCGAGCCTTCCCCTGAAACACCCTAGACCCTGTGCTTCTGTGCTATGCATATCAATACAGCAGGCAAGAGGGACAAAGTCTTGCGCACATGCCTATCCATGTCCCCCAATTTAGGTGTGAGGAAAGGAGGCTCATTCTGGCAAGGTTCAAGTCTGGAAGCAGATATGAGGTGAGAAGACTTTCTGTGAGGCGTTCTGAGTGTGGATGGTCTGATACAAGGTTTGGGAGAGTATCTAGACACATAGGGACTCTCTGTGGGTTTCTGGATGCAGGGGGACTGTGTGAAGGTGGTTGTGAAGGTGGGGGAGATGGGACTCAGCAGGAGGTCTGGATGAGGGCGAAACATGGCTTGATGGGGTGAAGGTCCAAGTGCAACTAATCGGGGTAGATAGGAGGTGGTCTGGTGAAGAGGTGGGATTCTAGGTGCAGGGTCATGAGATTTGGCAGAGTGGGGGTCTGGATGAAGAGAATGAAGATTTGTAGGGTGGGATTCAGGTGCAAGAGGAGTAAGTCTCAGTGAGTGGTCTCGATGTGTGAGTGTTTCATATTCATGGGGGTTGGACAGATGGGGAGTAGTTTCCCATGCAGCGAGCCCTCCCTCCAAGGCTGAGAAAGCGATGAGGTCAGGAATCAAGAGATGGGAGTGGTACAGACCTTCCTGCAGTTGGGGGAGGTTTGTGGGGCTGAGCCTTACCTGGCTGTGGATGCTCCGTACAGGAGAAAAAGAACAGAGTCCAGCACAGAGAAGGGGCCAATGGCTGGGGTTTCCCCAGCTCTCCTCTTAGATGATTTACCTCCCCACTGGCTGCTCTGGGTGCCTGAAACAATGCATTTGCACTTATTCAGCTTTCCTTTGCTTTCCTATCAGAAGGTCAGTTTTCTGTGGGGAAGCAAAGAAATCTGCAGGAGACATGAATTCTGTGTACACAGCGTGGTGTAGAATTCCTCCAGGAGCACACTCTGTTCTATGTCCTGTAGAATGATCTCTTTTACTCTTTACTGAAGGCAGAATCCAAATGATCCAGTTCAACTCTGTGGTTCCTGTAGGATGCTCTTTTGGAGTTATAAACATTTATTTATAAAAACCAAGATAACTAGATGTATCTATTTGAATTAAATATATCTAACTAACAATCTTTTAATGATGTATTTATCTAGTCAAGTATGGGAGTCTGTTTGGCTGAAATGATGTGATTAAGAGATTAAAAAGAATTGAAGGCTTATAGGCAGCAGAGAAAGCTACAGAAAAAATATGCCATTTACTGTGAAAGTTGTAACGTCTGTCTGAACATCTGTCACTTCTAGATTTTAATTGATAAGTGAAGTATTCTGAAACTCAATTATGTTCAAATTAAATTAATGTCAAGTATCAGATGATTGGCAGTGTAGTCTAATTTAATATCTATTAGTTCTATGTGCTTTTATGGTAGATTAAGGTGACCAAAATCCCAGTTTTATTATGAGAGTTTTAAGGTACTTACTATTTCATGATATTAAAATGTTAATTAAAATTTCTGCTTCCAAAGCATATTTTCTATCCACCTTTTCTTGCATGCACTGAAAAATGTAGCTCAAGAATAAGAGAGAGCAAGAGCTCTTCTATCATTGTAAACTATCACACGATGACATGGAAACAGATATCATAGCCAGAGGAAAATGAACATGGCAATGTTCCTCTCTGACTACTTGCTCATGACGACCCCTGTGCACATGTCGTCAAAGATTTTTTCCTTTGCAGTACCAATAGGGTTAGCAATGGTGCCTTTTTGAGTATTGCACTCATGCAGTATATCAGGTGCCACCAGCCCTATGTCCTCTCAGTTTTTTCATACTGCCTGTGGCAGAGTGCCTTTCCTTGCATAGCATGGGCCAGCTGTTTCATCTCTTGACTTTGAGCCTTAGGTTCTTGTAAATAGTTTGTTTATAGTAGTGAGAGTAGTTGTTAAGTGTAGTTAGACGTTAGAGTCCCATTGGTGACTTCGCCTGAAGTGGAGCATGCCCTAGTCTTTGGGGTTTAAGCCCTAGTTGGAGGCCATTCAGCACCCTGGCCAGCAGCAGGGACAGTGGGGAGAGCCTCCAAGCAGGGCAGAAGGGCAGCCGGCCCTGCAGCCAATCAGGGTTCAGCTGCTGGGTGAAGGTCAGTTAGTTTCTTCCTGGAGCTCAACCTGGCCAGAACTCTGGGCTGGCTGGGAGCATCAGCACCTGGGCCAGCTCCGAGTGGGAGCTGGACCTTTTCAATGAACCAAGGCTAGATCCTGCAAAAGGAGGCTAGCTTATAGCAGTGTGGAAGAGCCCCGGGCAAGGGGGGAACCCTGGACTTCTACTGCCAATTGGACTGTATCTCACCCAGAGTGGGCGAGGTTATTGTTGTGAGCCTCCTTATAGCCGCTAAGGAGTGCTCGCTGACAGGACTGAACCTGTTACAGAGCACATGGGACATGCCTGTGATTACAATGCCCTCTTCACATCACTCATCAGCCACCACCTCCAAACAATTGATGATACCAGTGGCACAGTGCTTGATATTGGAAATGCACTCAGAGGTCAGTATAGAAGAGCCAGTTCCCACCCCAAAATCTCCTTCTCTCATAGGGGAGTAATGGCCTGAGGCCTCACTGGCAGTACAATCATCATCCTCCACCATGGGCAAGGTGATGGTGGGACCCTCAAGAGGCATCCCACTGGATGATTTTAAAGAACACCAGGCCCTTCTTTGATGGGTGGCTGAGAACTTGAGCCTAGAGGTAAAGGAGGTGGCCTTGCAGGTGGACGCCTTGTTCTATGTGCTCTTGGTCCCTACCCCTACATGATGAGGTCCTGAAAATTACCAATGCCCTTGGGCAAATTCCATCCATCCATCACTTATACCTCCGAAAGGACCAAAAAGTATTTTGTCCTGGCCAAAGGTTCAGATACCTATATGCCCACCTTCCTCCGGATTCACTGGTCATCTCCACAGCAAACAAAAAGTACAATAAGGAGCACATCAGCTCAACCCCCAGAAATAAAGAGGATAAAAGAAAAGACCTTTTCAGAAGGAAAATTCATTCAGAAGCCTGCAATTCCATATGAACCACCGGGGTTTTTTGGGCATGTACAATTTTAACTCATGGAACTCCCTCCATATATTCAAGGAGTCCCTGCCCCAAGATCTGGCCCAGGAATTCGGCACCCTGGAAGAGGAAAGTACTGGGGCAGTAAGATGCTCTCTTCAAATGGTGTGGGACATGGTGGCTAGGGTAGTCTCATTGACAGGGGTCACAAGGTGCAGTCCCGGCTTCAGGCTGCTGGTCTCTCCCAAGAAATGCAGACTTCAGTCAGTGTTCCCTCTAAGCTGCGGGGCAGCACAGCTTCACAGATGATTAATCAGCCCTGCCCAGTCAGTCAGCTCTGTGTATGGAGCCCTGAGCCTCTGACTGGGCGGGCTGATTCATCACCTGTGAAGCCATGCTGCTGCCAAGCTTAGAGGGAACATTAATCTCATCCAGGACCTCCTATTTGATGGGAATGGACTCTCTGAAGAGCAAATGGACATGAGTCTGAATGGATTGAAAGATACTCAGGCCACCCTTTGGTAACTGGGTATGCACATACCACAGCCTGCAAGGAAGAAGTTCTGGCCAGCCCTGCAGCCAAGGCCTTGACAGCAGAAGAGAAGGCAACACAAGCTTTAATTGTTGATGCTCTTTCTCCTCCCACTCACCTGCATAGTCCATTCCAGAAAAGCATCCAGGGGGCCAGAAACACCCATTTTGAGGGTGCACTCAAAAGCGATACCCCAGTCATCTCTCTTGATGTACATGGCTGTATCCTAAATCATCTGTATCCCTACTTGTATCAGCCTGGTTGCAGGTCACCACTGGGTGCTAGAGATCGTATCTCAAGATTATACCCTGCAGTTCTCAGCTGCTACTTCCTCCCTCCCATTCTGTTCTCACATTACATCAGTTATATTATGAGGTTTTGGATGTAAATGATGTGGAGTGTTTTAGACAAACAGCATTTTTTGAATTTCTAAGATTATTTATGTTCACCAACATTTTTAGATCATGTTGAAAAATTATGTTTTCCCTCCAAAAGTCCATGTTAAAATATTGGTGACTTTTTTGTTCTTACCTTTTCTTTTTCTTACAGATAAACCTTGTATTACTTCTGAGCCACAGGATGTAGATGTTACCCCAGGGAATACTGCCTACTTTACCTGCAAGGCAGAAGGAAATCCTAAACCCAAGGTCGTTTGGATACATAACAAGTAAATATTAACCAATCATTGTACATGTGTACTAGTCTGTTTTCAGGTACTAATTATTATGAATTCCAGCACTTGTGGACTAGCAATAAAATGTGCGTGTGTGTGTGTGCGCGCGCGCGCACATGTGTACGTGTATTTTTTCTACATCACTCTTTAGGAGACTTGTTATGAAAATTCAACAGAATTCATTTTCAATAAGTAATTCATGGTGAAAGAGTTACTTAATGCTTTTTTCATTGAACTCTTGGCCTATTTAATAAAAAATGAGGGAACTTCAGGGTCCTTTATAATGATATCTCCCTTGCATTTTCATCAAAACTCCGCCATATCTTAGGTGCAAAGTGTACAGATTTATTTTCCAGATGAGCTAGCTAAGGAACAAAAAGTTAAAATTACTTGCCAGCAGTTTCATGGGATGCTTGTGAGAGAAAGCCATACACAGAACTAAAGGTAGGTCTCTAAAGGTAGGTCTACAGAGCAATCGGGCATGACTGCAGCACATATTCCAGTTGCTACAACAGCAGAACTGGTGGCGCAGGCTTGTGTTCAAGTACAAGCCCACCCAGGACTTTAGCTTTGTATTCAGGTGGCTAGCCCATGCTGCCGCCTGTGTCATATCACTACCTTGCTATTTTTAGGCATGCCAGCTCAGTCAAAGCTAGCTCAGGTATTCCCAGTTGCAGTGTAGACATACCCTGAGGCATTTTATCCATGTCTTATGCATTAGACCATAATGTCTCACAGAAATAGCATCACATATCTGTACTTAGTGAAGCCAACTGCAAAATCAGACTAATCATGCTTGCTTACTGGGAGTGCTCTGAGACCTACAGATGAGAAAAACACAGTACTTTTCTGAATTCAGGCCTGAATGAAGTTAGACTGATTATTTAATTAAAGGTATAAAAGAAGTTAACCAATCTGTTGCTGCATACATCCTAGTTATTAAAAAATTAACATGTATATATTTACCTGTGCAAAAGGGTGGGGGGGGGGGGGGGGGGGGAGAGAACAAGTAACTAAAGCAAAAACTATTACATTTACAAACAAAGCTTGCTAAGTAACAACCACATTGTCACCTATCACAACATTTACAAAACTAAGAACTAAAAAAGGTGAAGGATGAATAGTTAATAACATCACCACATATAATAAATAAATAGTCTTATTTCGTATAAAGACATGCATATTCCTTCACAACAGCTTTAATCTGACAATACAGTCCTTTCCCCAGTCACAAGGGCACCATTTCAGAATTTTGGTGGGGAGGGGGCAACCTATGCATGCCATAATGGGGGAGGGGTTTGGACAGAGGCTTCAGCAGTGTTACTAAGCATACTTGGTACAAGCCAAACACCAAATGGAGAGGAGATTCTTTTTGTAAAGCCTCAGGGTGAGTCAATGACTGGTTTCTGGGGTCTGATGTACAAATACTTCGCACCATGAGGCGTACCATAGAGGAGACTCACAGTCCCCTCTCCTTTCCCTTTCCTTTCAGTGGCCAGCCAAAGAGCTGCTGACTGAGAAGGGAGCCCAGAGGTAGCCAGTAGAAAAAACTGCTTAAAGTTCGATATGGGGTTCAGTAGCTGCTTCCTTGGCTTAAGATCCTCTTTAGCAAACCCTTATCTTTCTAGGAAAGACAGGTTTCTTCTTCAGCAGGCAGTTCTATCTTCTTAAAGGAATGAGGGTGGGGGTTGTCACAATATTCCTTCACACACCTTACTCACATTTCCCACTACCCTCATCACTCAATCCGTGACCACTATTGCTAAATGCAGGGCATTTCTGACTTTACTATTTCTGATTTGTGACACTTCTGCCTCTCCCTTCCCACTTCAGCCTGCTCGCTTCCTGCCAACTACCTCCCTTCTTTGGGTAGATTATTCAGTCCTTAAAATACACCAAATTCTTGTGTGTGTTGGGGGACACAGGTATTTCATTCCCCCCTCCCTAATTTTAGGGTAGCTTGAAAGGATGTGAAGCCAGGAGGGGCTGGGCTTTTACCTGATTTAATAAAGGTTGAGATTCAGCTGACAGTCCCTGTATGTATAAAACAATAATTTCCCTCAAAAAGACTGAAATTGTCTTTACCTTAGTCCTAACGGTTATGAAAAGTGATGCTCAGTAGACTAATTGAATGTCAGCACACTTCAAACCTTCCATCTCTCATTATGCTCAATAATCGGTAATCATAAAAGTAATTTACCCAAAATTCTGCTAGCAATTGATAGATTAACTGACATTTTCCCCATTTAAAAAATCCCTATAATATTTAGATACTGCAAACAAGATAACAAAAATATTCACATTTTAAAAAATCGAAGATGTTGTGATGAAATATGCATTTCTTTATATTTGAGCAAATAATGCCTTTATTCATAATGTAAGATGTGTAAGATTTATCATGTCCTGTTGTCTTTAAAATTCCTTGTTCCTGAATGCATATTATTCCTTATTTTAAGTGCTAGGGTGTTCGTTTGTTTGGGGCTTTTTGTAAAAATGTTATAGATATCACTTAGTATACTCAAGTGTTATATGAAACTCAGATAATGTTTTTTAAGTCCTCTTTAATTCAGTGATAACTGAAGATTTGTGGAAGAAATACACATACCCTCACCCAAGATGCAAACTGTTCCAGAGGAGTCTCTTGGTATGTTTACACTGGTTATATCATAGTCAAAGCATGTTGCTCAGAAGGGAAGTTGTTTCAGAAGAAGCTGCTGTCTACGTGTATTATGGCCTTTTGCAAATTGACAGGTGCTCACATAGTTGGGTAATTGTTTACAAACACTGAAGATACTTGTTAAAACCATATTATTCCTATCTGCCTAAGCAAACTAAAAATTTAATTTGGTGGGGACCATTTTGCAAGTTACTTTCATAAGAAATTGTCATATTGCATCAGTCAGAAAAAAGAAAAAAAGAAATTTTGCCTTGAGCAAACAATACTGATGTCCCCAAATGAATAAACAAAGACTCTTCTGGTGTACAAACTCAAAACCAGCAGAGTAAGAGCAAAATTAAAAGAACAATTGTAATTTAAAAATAAAACTTGTGCTAGAATGCGATATTTAATGACAGATCTGAGAAAAAGGTAGCATGTACATGTCTCAGGGTATGTCTACACTACCCCGCTAATTCGAACTAGCGGGGTAATGTAGGCATACCGCACTTGCAAATGAAGCCCAGGATTTGAATTTCCCAGGCTTCATTTGCATAAGCCGGGTGCCGCCATTTTTAAATCCCAGCTAGTTCGAACCCTGTGCCGCGCGGCTACACGCGGCACGGAGTAGCTAGTTCGGATTAGGCTTCCTCATTCCACAAGCTATGTTGTTGGGGTATTGCCCTGTAGTTAGGACCACTGTGAAAGAGGCATTGGGAAGCACTTTCACCAGCAACTCCTATAAAGTCACCCCCGCAGCAGTAACAGTAGTCTCCATCCATGTACTTAGCATTCTGTAAATGGAGGGTGCAAGGGCCCCCTTTGGACTCCAAAACAAAAGAGTTGTTCTGTGATAAACCAGATGACATCTGGCTTTCAACGTTGGTGCTTCTCTGACAGAGGAAGAATTGTGGAAGTCTCCTGTGTTATTCCTTACTGATGTTGCTATCACACACGAGTTTTGGTTTCAGAATGTTTCTTTTGTTGATTTTTGCATAAGGTTCTATAAAAAATGAATGCTGTTCTTTTAGGAACATGTTTCGCTACTATCCCCTATAAATAGGAAAATTCTGCTAGGAGCCAGAGCTGTATATTGTTGGAGTTCAGAGTCCCACCTCTATTCCTTTCAAAAAAAGGTTTAGTCTTAATGGACCCGTGACACATCATCGTTCTTGCAAGCCATGCTCTCTCAAAGTTTTTGTGTGTGATGATTCTTGTTACATTGTTAAAATATTCTTCTGAAAAGAATGAGTTTATGGTTTATAAACATATTTATATTACTTTGGTCATCTAAGGAAGTGGGCTATGCCCACGAAAGCTCATCTCATACCATCTACATGTTCTGTTTGTCTATAAAATGCTACCAGACCATTTGTTGTTTTTTCCTGTACGGACTAACTCGGCTACCCCCTGAAGCTTATATTGCTGTTATTTTAGCCGCTTTCAGTACTTTAATGGTAACATAAAGAACACTTTGTTTCCTTAGCAGTAAAGGAAAATACATGACATGATTTACATATGCACGGTGTGTTAATTTCAAGCATTTATTATTTTTTCAGTTTAGCTCCTCCGCAGTTTACAGTAAGCCCCTATAATCAGGAGGCGATAGAAGGGCACACAGTAGATTTCCACTGTGAAGCAGATGGTAATCCTCTTCCTGAGACTGCCTAGACCAAATCTGGTATAACCAAATATATGTGAGCTCATATTTCTGTGCTGAAAAATAATGAAAAATAAATAAAAACAGCTTCCAACACTTTATGGTTATTAAGTATATCAAGAAAATATTGGTAGAATTACTGAAATTGGGAAATTTAAAACAATATGTATTTATCTGACCTCATCTCTTATGTCAACACATGCACAAAAACCTCACGTTGTCTGATCTGTCAATGATTCTGGTCTCTGTGCCTTTGTCCACTTACATACCTATACCCATGCCTGGAATTCCCTCATAGACATGGTTTGCCAGGCAATCTTCCTCTTGTAATTTAAATTCCTCCTTAAGGCCAACTCCTCCTACTGCAGTACTCACAAGAAGTTGGATGAAGGCAACATGTTTATAAGTCATTTATTTTATATACATATGATTAAAAAACCCAGATCAATCTACCTCCTGTTCAGTCATTCTATGCCCACCTTATTTCTGAATGTGCTATCCTGTAACTTAGTTTGTCTTTCTGTTTTCCTTTCTAGCCTCACAGGTATGTTGCTGTTGTTGTTGTAGGTCCATAAACTCTCTGGAGCTGGGGCCTTATATAATGTATATTTACAATGAGATGCTGACTGGTAGAATAATTTTGCATACTGTAAAATTAATAGTGATCAAATATAATATTACTATTTAACAAAAATCTCACTTTGCCTGTTTCAAGTCTTTTTTTTTTTTCGTATATTGGGTGGATCTCTGCCCTTGGCAAAGCATGTGCATCTTGAGTTCAATTTTGCATGCTTAACTAAGGATAGAGCTTAGCTCTATGTAATTTTGGAAATATCTATAGATGTTAAAGTTCACTTCTTCATAATATCTGCTTCTTCTTTTTAGATTGAATAGTTATTTTCAAGCAAGAAATAGTAAAATAAGTTCATCCCCGTCAGTATGTTAGTATTTTGGATCCATCTTCTTTCAGAGCCCGTGCATATGTAACCAATTTATTATTATGTGATAAATTGCACCATTGGCCACAATCTGCCATTGAAATTATTGGGGCTTGCAAGGGCTCACTCAATACACAAGGATTTGTCCTCATGGAATGAGGTTGCTAAATAGCAATGATGGGTTACAGCGTTTGCTTAGTAATTTTACTAGAAATGAGGAAATAACTCAAACGGTTGGTTTGGCAATAAAGTTTCAGGTTAGCAAACAACTCAATACCACATAATCTTCAGCATTGAATATGGTGCAATCCAAATTACATTTGGAATTAATACTGATATAATCACCCTGCGATTAAATGGATGAGTTTTATTTATTTAGTAAATATGGAATTTTATCCTATTACACAAAAACCTTAATGTCAATTAATTTCATTTCTTCCGGCACTAGCTATACTAGTGGTAATATGGAAGTTAAAGAAAAGAAGGCTCAATTTGTAACTAGTTTCTTATTACTTTTTTCATAGGCACATTTGTATTGCTTCCTCAAATCGTTTGAATCCTTACCAAGTATTCAGGTTTATTGAAGGGGGGTGTTTCCTAGTCAACAGAGCAGTGGACTTGCATTCTTTTCCTGGCTATGACACTGTTCTATTTAAATTGACTTTGTTCAAATTAGTTCACCTTTCTGTGCTCAGTTTCCTCATCTGTAAAACAATAATTATCGTAACGCTTACCTCCTGTGTCTAAAGTGCATTTGGAGACACATGGAGTAAAAGCATTATATGGCAACTAATTATTATTATTATTGTAGTCCAACACCTATCTACTCTGGCTCTCCTTCAAATCACCAGAGTGTTCTCTCTGTTGGCACACTCCTCAGTAAAAAGCAACATTATTAGCAAGATGATGAATAGCTCATTATCTGTCTATGACATTGAAGCAAGCAACTCATATTGCTCAATAACCCATTGTTCTTCACTCAAGTGCTCTCAGCAGATACTAAAATTAAACCATTTACGCTTTTCAGAGGTAAAAAACCACTATAACAATTCATTGGACTGCTTGATCTTTCAGAGTCTCATTTAGTGGACTGGATCTTTTTTCATAATAAAGTCTAAATAATGAACATTAGCCCTGCCAAAATTGGCATTATAAAATGTGATCAAATGTTCTTTGAGTTGTATGCTAAGTTGCTAGAAATTTCAATTTTTTAAAAGTATGACTAAATTAAAAAGAAAATGGAAAAAGGCCACCAGTGGTGGAATTTGAAGGGAAAGAATAAAATGTTCACAATTAACCATGGTGAGTATTTTTAAGGGAATGTCCTTTAATATATATTGCCTCCCAAGATGTTAATTAAAATAAAGGTATGATAAGTACACAAATAAGTGCAATTTACTAAATTTATGTCTCAGTTGTTTGACACATGGCAGGAAATCAGCTCCCTCCTGATGGACGTCACACTGCTCTGTCTCCTGGAACATTGTGTATTGTACATGTGGCCCAGCATGATCAAGGCCAGTATGAATGCCAAGCAGTCAGTGCTTTGTGGAGTAAGGAGAGTGACCGTCCAACTGAATGTGCAATCCAAAGTAACAGAGGAGATGTATTTCTGCTGTTTTTAAAGTTGTCAGTATGTCTAGAAACTTATCAGGTGGTCAGAGTTTTAATGATAAATGTGTATATAGACACTTCATTTTCGCTTTCCACTTTTGGGGATAGTAGACAAATGAATTCCAACATTATTACTTGTGAAGATATAAGGGTGTGTCCCCAATGCATAAAGTGGGATTATTACTTCATATAAATATGAGCAATGATAGAAGAAAATGATTGTTTCCATCAAATACCAGTTGTAAAACAGAAAGCAAGAGATTATGCTATTAAATATCAAATTTAACTTTAAAAATAAAATAAAATAGAATAGGTTAAGGCAATAGAAGTGACCCATTTTACTTAATGATGTACTCATCCCAAATGCAGTAGAGTCAATTAAATCAAAATTAGGCCCATTTAGGGAAATTATTGCCCAGATAGTGCTTTTTTTATGCAACATCTTGAAATAAACTGACAGGTCCCTTTCAAACATATTCTTTATGCGTCTTGTAATTATGTACTATTATTGGTATTTTTCCTACTACCGTTATTTTTCCTGAACATATGAGTATCCATGCTCAAAACTACAGAAATGGAAAAGCTAACAAAGGAATTTTATACAATTTTAGGGAGACGGCATTTATCTAGGAATAAGTAGGTCTAGTAAATGTTGCAGCATGAATGTAAATGGAATAAGACCTTTCCAAAGTTCAGTAAGAATGTCTATTTTTCTCTTATCAAGTAGGATACCTTGGCTTTGTTATTCTCATTCCAGTAATTAAACTCTGAGGGGGCAGATCTTCTGTTTATGTAAATTGTCATAGTTCTAGTGAAGTCAATGATGCTATAATAGTTTACACTAGCTGAGGATCTTGTTAACCAATCAATCCAGGAAAAACTTAAAAAAACAAATAGTCTAGTAGCACCTTAAAGATGAACAAAACATGTTGATGGTATCATGAGCTTTTGTGGGCATGTGACGGGGCAGGCCCGCCCCGTCTTCTGTTTATGTAAATTGTCATAGTTCTAGTGAAGTCAATGATGCTATAATAGTTTACACTAGCTGAGGATCTTGTTAACCAATCAATCCAGGAAAAACTTAAAAAAACAAATAGTCTAGTAGCACCTTAAAGATGAACAAAACATGTTGATGGTATCATGAGCTTTTGTGGGCATGTGACGGGGCAGGCCCGCCCCG